ACAAAGTAGTTTCGCTTTCACAACGAAACACAGCGTCACACACGTCGGCCTAGTGTGAGCGGCCTAGAGTGAGGAACGGCCGGAGGGTTAGAGTGAGCAGAGGCTGCGGGCTTGAGAACAGCGCAGCCAGCGATTTCGACGAAGGAGCGTCCGGAAAGACATGTGATGACTCCGGGCTGGACTCCGCTTCGTCCACGGTGAAAGCCGATCCGGCGATCCACAGCACAAAGTTGAAGTATTTCCTCAGCGACCAGCACGGATCAGCTCCAGGCATGACGAAGCGATATCGTCCTCTTTTGGAAGGCCAAACAAAGTAGTTTCACGTTCACAACGAATCACACAGTGCCTTCACGACATGGCGGCGGCAACAATACTACAGCGAGAATAATAGTTACACCTTCTTTCTTTGCGTGAACATTTGAGCGGCGTTATGCAAATCTTCCCACATCGTGACGTGGATATGTGGGGGCGTGTTAGAACGAGCCGTTTTAGGTAGGCGTGGCTGACTCTTAACTTTTATAAAGAATATCTCTTTGGATTTGAGACTTTAGTCTTTGCAACTTCACAGATCTTCTTTATGCACCAAGAGCTTGTAACACTCCAAAGAGAAAGGGAAAATTGAAATCGCATCATATGTCCCCTTTAAGTTCAATGTGCTGCTCAGTTAGAAGTGGCCTAAAAATATGTCTTTCGTGTGTGATAAACTGTGTGTGTACTTATAACACACTCATTTACATTTGATATTACGAGAAAGCTATTAAAAGTAAATATGATCCTTTAGGTTTCTGTTCACCATTGGTTCTGTATTTTCTAAGTCCATGTCTCAAAGTCTTACACTATCATTAAATTGGTTAAGCAAGAATGAAGTCCTGTGTTCATTTTGTCGAATAAACCACTTTGTAACCAGCTTTTTATTTTACATTATTTCCTCACCGATCTGTGGAACAAGTAAGTATTTATTGTCAGTTTGTATTATCCATTTGGTTTATTACTAATAAAAGCTGCTAACACATTTTATTATGATTAAATACAACAGGTTACAGTGACACCTTCCTGGCACCTGCAAGAAACTGACCGGAAACTTGAGAATGCCGAAAACACAATCCTGAAGGTACAATCTACCGTGGATATAGATAGATAGATAGATAGATAGATAGATAGATAGATAGACAGATAGACAGATAGATGCTTGTGACACAAAAAGGCCTTTGTGAGAAAGTCATCGTCAGAATATAAGAATGGCTATCTTGAAGGACGGGTTATTTATACTGATGGCACGGCGAAGGAGGGATAGTGCCGTATTTCATGACCTTGTCAGCTCATTGGTGTGGCGGATAATCCACTTCCATAAAGAGAAACCATGGATTTACAGAGTGATCAGAGAATGCAATATATACCTTCTTAACACGTCCGTTGCCTATGTCTCGTCCCTAGAAGACGTTCCTCTGTTCTTCTAGAAAGGTGAGAGCAGTTCCCTTGCTTCATTGTCTTAGCCTTGCAAATACCATTTTTTGGAGATTTTTGTTGAAAGTTGTAAAATGTAGTTTGTGGGATTGATGATGAAGGTGATTGAGAGGGTGGTCATGGGGTTTGGTTCTTCTACTGTTAGTCGCTATAGTAAGAAGGCACCTGCTGAGAACATGAATGTAATGTATAAATTATTTGTTGTACTAGTTGATTTGTTAATGATTGGTGAAAATATCTTCAGATAGTCCTCACAACATTGTATGATCATTGTTGGTGATTCTAACTCATGAAAAGTTAGTTTTTTGACTCATCTGAAGTCTTTTATTCTGGAAACACCATGCTAAAAAGTTCGCTAAAAAGTGGTCACCTAATGGCTGAGGTCAGGTTTGATATACTGACTGATGAAGTGGCCATTGGAAAGTGAACACAGACACAAGCATAAATTTGAAACTGATCCTTAAGTCTTACTCCACCTGTCAGCACCTTCTTACGGTCCTCCTCATTAACAACTGATTTACAAAACTGTCTCGTCTAAAACTGAAATGCAGTACCTTTTAATCTGAAAGACAATGCTGACTATTCACAAAGACATTTTAGTTCATCTCAGACATCTTGTGTAATGATTTGAAATGGCTTAACCTTCTGGAACATGCATATATTTCCTCAGAGACCTGATTAGTCCTAACTTTTAAGAGTATGTTTACCAAACTCTTACACAACAACACCACTGTACTACTTGATCTATTCTGCCATGTGTTTCTGCTAAACATGTCTTCAATATTCTTCCATGGCTGCTTAGAATAGTCTTTCTTCAGATAGCCTTATGTGACCTGACTGTTGTCTTCGCATTGAGGCATTAAGAGTCCATTTAAGTGTACTAAATTAGTCAATCAGTTTGTCATCAGTTAGCCAGTTAGTCCGGTCTGTCTCTCAGAGCAGGTATATATTAAGAAAGACATTTGAGACAGTTGTTTAGCGAGGGAATAAAGGAGAGCTGTGTTGTCATATCTTTGACATCCCAGAGATGCACTTGAGGATGGGGCTGTGTCTGCAGCTGATGTACTGGCCTTGAGATCATATTGCAGTGACCTCTTAGAGAAAATCCTCTCGGATGAGTCAAAGAGGTTTGGGAACCATGTGGTCCTCTTGAGTTTACACTAGGGCTGCACGATATTGGAAAAAAAACTCACTTTGTGATATTTTTTTTTCCTGCAATATATATTGCGCGATATGAAAAAAAAAAAATCAAATGACTTCAATATAGCTCTATTTGGAAAAAAAAATTAAAAATCAATAATTGGGGTGATTTTGTAGGCGAGTAAATCAGCATAAGAAATAAACAAATTACAAGCATAGATAAATAACAGAACAAAGATACAAATTTTTACAGTGTTTTACAGTGTTAAACAGGAAAAACGTGTGCTGATAATGCAAGAAGACAATAGAAAACAGTCAGTTTATCAGTTCATTGTTGATTCAGTGATGTCGTCGTCCAGCTCAGTTCAGTTCTCTTCCAATAGTGTCTGTGCAGTCAAGTCAACAATGTTGCCAGAAATTGTGGCAATACCTCTTCCACTAGAAACCTAGTTTTCCCAGGAGGTCTCCCATCCAGGTACTGACCAGGCTCAACCCTGCTTCAGTGGGTAACCAGTCTTGGGCTGTGTGTATTTGTGTTGATATACTTGCATAGTGTTTTTTTTTCCAAAATGGATGGTCCTCTAGTTCATCTGTTATTTTAATTTTTTGAGCTTTATCACTTTACTTTATTGTACAGTAGGGTTCAGACAGCAATATAGGGAGACAGGGAGCAGGATCAGGACATGACTCAGGTCTGACTCAAACTGATAGCTCTGATATGTTTTGAACATATGCATAACCCACTGTGCCACAGCTCTGATGCATTTCTCTTTTTTTCTGTCAAAGAGGTGCAAATAAAATCTCGGAAATGTCTGAGTAAGTACAGCATGCCATCTTGATTCCATCATTCAGTGTGTGTGTGTTTTTTTTTTTTCCAGTAGTTTTTCTCATAACACCATGTATGATAATTAGTGTTGTTTTTGGCGGCCTGTTTTAATTTTAGTTTTAGTCTAGTCTTTGTGTGAAGCTGTCATTTTAGTTTTTATTAGTTTTAGTCACGTTCATACTCTTTTTAGTCTAGTCAAGTTTTAGTCAACTAAAAGTCTGAGCATTTTAGTCTTATTTTAGTCAGAATTATCCATGACTATTTTCGTCTAGTTTTAGTCGACGAAAACTGATGAC